TGTCTGCATTTGTGTAGTCATCCCTAGTGCTGTTGTGAAGTTTGCCTGGCAGTGTGCATGGGTAGGGATGGGTATGGATGGATTTGGATGGGTACAGATGGGTATGGATGGGTATGGATGGGTATGGATGGGTATGGAAGGGTATGGATGGGTACGGATGGGTATGGATGGGTATGGATGGATTTGGATGGGTATGGATGGGTACAGATAGGTATGGATGGGTATGGAAGGGTATGGATGGATTTGGATGGGTATGGATGGGTATGGATGGATTTGGATGGGTATGGATGGGTACAGATGGGTATGGATGGGTATGGAAGGGTACAGATGGGCACTGATGGGTATGGATGGGTATGGATGGATTTGGATGGGTATGGATGGGTACAGATGGGTATGGATGGGTATGGAAGGGTATGGATGGATTTGGATGGGTATGGATGGGTATGGAAGGGTACAGATGGGCACTGATGGGTACAGACGGGTACGGATGGGTATGGATAGCTATGGATGGGTAGGGATGGGTATTAAAGGGTACGGATGGGTACAGATGGGTACAGATGGGTACGGATGGGTATGGATAGCTATGGATGGGTAGGGATGGGTATTAAAGGGTACGGATGGGTACAGATGGGCACTGATGGGCACTGATGGGTATGGATGGGTATGGATAGCTATGGATGGGTAGGGATGGATATTAAAGGGTACGGATGGGTACAGATGGGTACAGATGGGTACAGACGGGTACGGATGGGTATGGATAGCTATGGATGGGTACGGATGGGTATTAAAGGGTACGGATGGGTACAGATGGGCACTGATGGGCACTGATGGGTATGGATGGATTTGGATGGGTATGGATGGGTACAGATGGGTATGGATGGGTAGGGATGGGTATTAAAGGGTATGGATGGGTACAGATGGGCACTGATGGGCACTGCTGGGTACAGATGTGCCCGAGGCTGGGGCCCCGTTCCAGGTCAGCGCTGGACACTGCCAAGGAGATGGGCAATTGCAGATGTGCAGGAGCTCCTTGGCACCTGCTGGGAGAGATTCGTGGGACACACCCCGCAGCTTCCTGATTTCATGGACTGAAGTCTGGATTTTATTTGGCAGATCAACGGAAATTCCCCCTTAATGCAGAATTCCAGAAAGGAGCCCCAGAGTCAGGGAAAACAGCAACCATTGTGTTTTTCCTTGGAGATTCCCTTAAAAGGTTTCATTTATATTTTTGATGACGAGTGAATTTTTTTTTTTCCTTTTTAAAAAAAAAAAAAAATTAATCAGCCGTCAATGCTTCAAATGTAAATTCTCCATTCAGTAATGTTTAATAATCCCAATTCCAGAATAATGCATTAAGGAGGAAAAGAAGCCAACCCACTCCATGTGGCTTTGGTCCGCCTGGAGGACTGGCACTCGAATCCTCCAGATGAAAGGCTCCCACTTTTATCCCTGCAACTACTGCAGCAACCCCTGAAACTAAAGGACTTGAAGGAAAATAATTGGCTTTTCAGAGGAGCAGAACAATGTCCTCGCTGCCTCTCGAGCTCTCTCCAGCATCTGTCTCCGCGCTCCCCGCTCTTTGTAGGACTCAATTAAATAACGGGACAGGGTTCGAGCACGAAAATGTTCTCCCTTTACACTTTGCTCCAAATGAATTTCCAGATGGCCGAGGGGAAGGAGAGGATCCCAGGTTGCGTGGCCAGGGAGAGGGAGGGGATCCTACCTCCCTTTCTCCGGGTTCTTCAAGCTGCTGTCCCTAAAACCCCCGTGAGGAGACAGGGCTGTCCCCTCGTCCCCACGTTCTGGGGGAAAATGAGGAGGCAGAGGTCACATCCTGCTGCTCCTCCGCTGCCTTTTCCCTCCTGAGCGAGACCCCCCGAGGCAGGGGGGTCACCGAGGGACCCCGGATTTCGAGAGAGGTCAAAATCTGAATTCCCTCTGCTCCAATGCTTCTATAATATCCCTTGATTTCCTCCCGAGCAATGTGCCGGCATGCAAAAGTCAATTCTTATTTTTACCCCTCCTTCTCCGTATGAAAAAGGAAACGTGGTCCATTTGCTGCCAGCCCCTCAGCATCTGCTGCTTTGTCAGTTTGATTTAGCTGAGAAGCGTTCATGGTGCCTTGCAAAAGGGGCTGCTCGGGCAACCTGGCTGCACACGGAGCTCCTGCTCCTCTGCCAGGGGCTCTCGGGGGCATCGATGCCACGCTGAATGCCCCGGGAATGCTGGCGAGCTCCAACCCTCCCCGGGCACTTCCAGCTGCTGACTTCCATTTTCTGTGAGGAGGTTCCTGCTGGTTCCACCCTGCTCCTGTC